CTTGTTTGGGCGAGTCTCTGGCTAGGCCCAAACTGGGTGTGTGTATCCTGCGTGCTCAGCTCCCCCGACTCTCCTAGCTGTGTTTGGGATCGCCTCGGTTGCCATGACGACGGCGCAGTCGCTCCTGCCCGCAGATCCTCCCAGAGCAGCCTGCAGGGTTGCGGGCGCCCCCTGCTCCCTCCTCACTGCGCCCGCCTCCACCCTCCTCCAGGAGCCCTGCCGACCTCGCCTCGCCGCCGCCCGTCCCCCACTCCCCCCTGCCCAGAATGTGTCGCTGGCTTTCCGCGGCGGACTCTCAGCTCCAGGAGTAATAGCAAAGTGTCTCCACTGGGTCCCCAGAGCCCGGTAGACAGCAGGCGCTCAATAAATAGCACCGAGTGTGGGTGAAGATACTTAATCAAAGATCTGTGGCTGAGGGAGGGGAAACCGGGCGTCCTGGGCAGCGCTGGACCTTGGGGACACAGACGAGGGTGGAAGAAACCTATGCATCGCGGGTACACTCGCCACGAGCAGAGGCTGCAAAAAGTGCTGTCCTCGATGGTCCAGGCTTCCCGACGGCCTCTCGGGCAGCCAGTACTCGCCAGCCCCGCAGCGGGGAGAGGAAGCTGGGGGAGGGGGAACGGGAGGGGGCCCGGGCCGGGCAGGAAATGGGAATGGCCGGCGTCCGCCCAGCTGAGTCCTGGGGGAGGAGGCGGGGCGCGCCCCAGCAGCCTTTCCTGCGCTCCTGGAACCTCCACGTCTCGGCTTTCCGCCCGCCGGCAGGGTGGGGGCGGGGAGGCCCGGGCAAGGGGACCTGCACCAGGGACACCCGCGCCATCCAGGACCACGGTGACCTGCAGACTGTCTTGTGCCCGTGACTGCGCCACGCGACATTTCTGTAGCTGAAGACCAACTTGGGACAATCTCCTGCCTGTCCCCCTCCCCCCCAAAAAAACCGTCGTCGTTCAACTGTGAACACTTGTAGGGACAGCGAGCATTCGCCTGCACGCCCATGCGCCACGACCACACGTGCGCTCACGGGGCCGCGTGTTATGAATGTGTGTGTACGTGGGGGCTGGGGGTAGCATGCCCTCGGCCCAGTGAGCACGCGTGTCACTCCTCTACTCCAGAGGTGGAGGCAGGGGGATCACCAGTTCAAGGATAGCCTCAGTGACATGGGGAGTTGGAGACAGCCTGGGATACTTGAGACTTTGTTTTGTTTAGATTCGACTTTTGAGACAGGGTCTCACTATGTATTTTGTCTAGGAACTCGCTATGTAGACCAGGCTGGCCTCTGCCTTTGAGTGAAGACACGTTTTCAGAAAAACAAACAAATTATAGTTGGTCCACGCTGGCATGCACAAAGCCCTGGGCTCCATCTACAGCACACCACCCAGGCTAAGCAGGGCATGCCTGTCATCTCAGCGTTAGGGATGCTGAGGCAGGATCTGAAGTTCAAGGTTGTCCTCCGCTGCTTATTGAGTTTGAAACCAACCTGGACTATGTGAAAGCCTCTGAAAAGAAAGGAAAAAGATGGATGGGCTGCATGTGGGCTCTCAATGTGTGTTCTGGGTGCAGAATGTCGTGGGCGCATGCACTTTGAGGCAAGGAGACATGTTCGGAGTCGAAGCCAAGATACCCACAGCCCCGCGAATCTGTGCAGCTGGGAGTCTCGCTCCGCAGCTAAGATGGGCCTGGAACTCGCAGTCATCCTCCTGCCTCAGCTTCCCTATTTGGAGGCATGGCAGTGGCTAGATCGTGTCTCCCGCGTAGGTGCGGGAGGTACGGTAGACGTGCTAAGTCGCGCGCAGCCTGTTTAGTGGGCTCTGCCGCCCCCGCAGGCTCTACGCGTGCGCGCCCGCCGTGGCCGCTTTAAGAGCGGCGGGAGCGCGCCGCGGCGGCGGCGGCAGCGCGCTTCCCGGAACAGTCCGCGGAGGGCAGCACGGCTAGAACCCACCCGCGGCCGCAGCTCCCGCGCGAACATGGCTGCGGAACCCGGGGAGCGGTTGGCGTTGGTCATGCGCGCCTGACAGGTGCGGAGCATGTACGGCAAGGCGGGCAAGGGCTGCGCGCCCTCGGACGGACAGGCGCGCGAGAAGTGAGTGCGCGGCTCGGGGGCCACGCAGGACCGGGGACTGTGCGGTCATGAGGGACCAGGAGGGTGCGGGATTTCAGGGGGATACACGAGATCCGGAGGGCTCGTGGAATTACCAAAGATCAGAATGGAGAGGGAATTTCAGGGGTACACACGAGGTCAAAGGGCTTGTGGGGTCGCACGAGACCTCAAGGGTGTGTGATTGTGGGTGTGCGAGGCCTGAGGCCCCATTTGGGGTCACGGAAGACACAAAGGGCAGAATATATAGGAGGCACTCGAGTTCCAGGGGCTCAGGGTCACTGAGAAACCGAAGGCATGAGACTGCAGTGTGGGAGATTCAGGGATCCTGGTGGGGGGTGTCTCAGGACAGTTGAGGGCACAGAAGATCAAGGGGTCAGACAAGACCCCAAGGGTTGCTGGGGTCACACAGCAATGGATGGGGTTCCGTATCAGGGACTGTGAGCTCTAAGGAGTCCGTGCTGTAGCAGCGAGCAGGATGCCCGGGGCAGGCACAGCATCTGAGGGCTGCGAGACCTCGATGGTTCTGGGGTCACACAGGCCTGGGTTGGGCCCGAGACCATGGGGCTCATGGAGAGCTGCAGGTCTCAGGGCGGGGGTCCCATGCACACAAACCCAAGAGCTGCAGATTTGAGGAGGTTGAGGGGCTCTAGGTGTTGGGAGCCTGGAGGTCGTGAGATTTGTGTGGGCACGTGTGACCTGACCTGAACTGTTGCTTGTGGGCAAAGTTGAGGACACAGGGCAGGAGGGAAGAAGGCGGAGCTACCTGGGCTACCTCCAGTGACCCTAGGTGGGCCAGACTGGTTCTGGCCCTCACTGCCCTGTATTGGAGATGCAGGGTGAGTGGCCAAGGTGGGCAAGCTGAGGTACCCGGCTTTCCTTCTCTGGGTGCCCATGCAGGGGAGTTGGTGAAGGTGTGAACATTTGAATCGTGTTGGGGGCAGCACATACATTGGGGGTGTGGTGAGCATGCCAAGCCTACATGGAAACTTGGCTGGCCACCGAGAAGCTGAGCTGCCCAGCACAGCCCTGGGTATGAGACAGATGACCCACAGAGGAGTCTGGGTTGCTGGGGATGCCATGGATGCTGGCCCCTCAGGCCACCCTTGTTGTATTGTGGTTAGGCCTCAACGACCCATCCTGGCATCAGGCTGATGCCCATGTGGGAAGCAGGGGCCATCTGGCTCGGTCGTGCGACACCTGGTGAGTCCCCAGCCTGGACATAGTTCACATAGTCAGTAGTCCTGTGCTAAGTTAGGGAGGTGAAGAGGCAGGGGTCGGGGTCTGACAGTCTGGGACCTCTGTGAGAGGACATGCAGATCCCACAAAGTACCATTGTGACCATCAGGAGCCTCAAGTTAGGCCAGGAAGGGGCAGAGGGGTGCAAAGGCCCTGTGGTAGGAGTAGGCAGGGAGTGAGGATGTGCTGTGGGCCACAGCAAGGCTTGTGTGTTTGAACTGCACACAGAGGCTGAGACAGGAGGATCCTTGCCAAATGCTTATCAAGGGTCTCTGAAAGAAGTGCATCTGGCCTGTGGGGCTCACAGAGAACAGGAAGAGGCCAACCAGGCTTGGGACTGCTAGGGTGGACGCTGTTTGGGTGGTCCTTGTAGATGAGGCCCCGTGAAGCAGGACTCTTCTCGGCCTAGGGTCTTCCATCTGTCCCGTGGGGTCTTCACAGAGGGTAGGCAGGTGGCCCTGCACTGTGGTTGGCTAGCCTTTCTGGGTTCAGGACATCCAAGGCCAGTGTCTCAATTACTGGTTGGCCCAGCCCTGGTTTTTCTCTCCCCCTGGACTCATCTGTTTGTGGCCTCCACCTACCATGCCTGTCCCCTCAGCACTAGAGCCTTGCAGGCCTGTATGTCTAGCGGGGAGCCAGCTCCAGGTGAACCTGTATGTCTAGCAGGGAGCTGGCTCCAGGAGAGCAGTGCACCACCTGCTGGGGAAAGTCTATCTGGGTCGCGAGGTTGAGGCTGGGGTCTGAATGGACCTTGTGTAAGTTGGAGTATGTGTGTGTGCTGACCGTGGGCGGGCTGAATCTATGTGGTGTTGCCCAGCAATTGAGGTGGCTTCTTTAAACCTTCAGGATGGCACAGGACACCTTCCCTTGGACACAGGTGACACCTAGCGAGGAAGGCTAGATGTTGACCGCGGTGTTTCGGTTGGCTCCCAGCAACCTGCCTGAGGGGTGCTGGTAGGGATGGCCTTTACAGTGATTCCCCACAATCATGGTGCCAGTGGCGGTGGTATGTTGGGCCTTGGCAGCCGGCTAACACAGAGCTGTCATGCTGCGCAGCCCAGGCCTGCTCTCCAGGACACTCAGCACGTCTAGCAGGAAGGGCACTGAGCTTGTCCTGGCTCTCAAGATCCCTCAGTCTGCTTGCTTTCTGCCACAGGGAAATTGGGGGGATCTGAGAGGCTCAGCAGACCCAGGACAGTGAGCCAGTGGGTACAGGTCTCAGGACCTATGTCTGTGCCTACCCCAGCTGTTAGAGACAGTAAGGGGAGGGTGGGCATAGGGCAGAGGTGGGGTATGGTATCTTGGACTGCTGGTGCTGGAGTCAGGAGGCACAGCCAGGGCAGAGCCCCTGGGGCAGGAGGCAGGGCGGAGCCAATGGAGCAGCAGTTCAGACGTGCAGGCCTGGAGGAAGCAGCTGTGGGGAGCTGTGCAGAGCTGAGACGTGGTGGGAGAGGGGATGGTTGAGCACACTTGAGACTGGCCTTGTGTGTCCCTCTAGCTACCCACCTCAACCTCCCTGGTGACTGGGCCAGTGGGGCTCACCCTGTGACATCTAGTCCCTGAGTCCTCCTTTGGATGGTGTTGAAATAGGAGCGGCGGGGCTGCGTCCCCGGCACCCCGCCGCCCGCATGGCTAGTTTATACCCAGAAATAATTACACGGAAACTGTATTCTTTCAAACACTGCCTGGCCAGGCTAGGTCCAGTTTCTTATTGGCTCTTACATATTGTTCTAACCCATTTCTAATATTCTGTGTAGCCCACGAGCTGGCTTACCAGAGAGGATCTTAACCTGCGTCTGTCTGGAGTGGGAGCATCATGGCGACTCCCCACCAAGACTCCTTCTCCCAGAATTCTCCTGTTTTCTCCACCCACCTAAGGGTGGGCCTTATCAAGGGGCCTAGGCAGTTTTTTTATTAATAAGAAATCACTCCCACATCAGTTACCCTTTTTCTGTTTAAACAAAAAAGAAAGGCTTTAACTTTAACATAGCAAAATTACATATAACAAAACAGTTATCAAGTAAGAATTACAGTTACAATATTTATATCTATTTTATCTCTTATCATAACTAAGGAAAACTATAACTATCCATTCTTCAACTCCATCAAAGACTCCAGAAGGATATAATATTACCTATCAAACAAGAAATAAGAAAACTCTAGAAATGACAGAGACATCTCGCTGCCTGGACAGTCACCCAAAGTTCCTCTGTACCGTTGGGGCATCCATCTTCGGCCTACAGGCCCATAGTATCCAGCAGACATTCTCATCAAGCAAGAAATTCCAAAGACAGTTCAGTCACTTTTTGCTGTGTCCTGCAGAATGTCTCACAGACTCTTTCATGAAGCAGGAACCCCAAAAGGTCATCTCACCTTTAGGCAAGTTCAGCAGTCCTCTCTCTGCGGGTTCTCTGTGTCCAGTTTATGCAACAGTCCAGGCAAGAGCAGTTTCTTGCCCAAATGGCTATCAAACTCCATAAGGATTCTCTTCGATGCCCATCTTCCTCTTGAAATAGATTGGTGCTGCCAGGAGCAAATGTGTCTCATTGTCATGAAAAACCCTAAGTTATTAAAATATCTTAAATGCCATATTCTGCAGCCTTTGAAAGATATGAAGAATGCCTATCTAACTAAAATATCTCTCTATATATCTAGAAAATCTAACTAACATGACTACAAGCTTAAGTATTAGCGATGATTATCCATTAACAACCTATATTTCCTAATTATACATTACATTTTTAAATGAACTACACAATCACAATACCTTAATCAAGATCAAAAATACATATACATATAACAAAATTGACCATAAAATCCATACCAATGCAAATTATTCATATCTATATCATATCCCCCTTTAAATGTAAAAGAACATTTATAAACAATATTTGGGAACATGGGCGTAGTTTTTTCTCTACAAACTGCTTCCTGCTGAATAGGGGCGTCGTTAATTAGGTTGTTCATGATATAACCTGTATGCTAGTTTCATCTCAGTTGGCAATTGAGCGAAGCAATTTTTTGAGGGTATTCACAGCAACCTTTCAGGAGGGCGTGGTCTATCATACCAAATCGGAATAGATGCAATCCACAGGGTCTCATCCTCTGCAAAAACAAAAGAAGACCCTCTCCAAAGCATCATATCCTTAGACCCAAATTCTGAAATCATAATACCCTTATATCCATTTTGGTTTAGATTGGCAGCCCATGTAATGAAATGTCTCTCTGTACTTAGCTCCTTCACAGTCAAAAATTTTAAAGAAAACACAATGTACATAATCCAGACTCTCTGTGAATTTTCCATTTTTACGTGGCTTATATTTCTTTATTTCTTTTAATCTATAACTCTCTGTACTTCTGTACTCTGTCTCTTTAAAGACTTTACCCTTTTTCTTTTTAAGACATTAACTTTATTCTTTATATTCTTTTTCTTCTCTTTCCCAAGCCTACGTACATTTATCCAACAGTGTCTGAATCTGTTTTATTGTGAATCTGTAATTTCTTTACTATACAGGAGCATTTCTTAAAATGTTAAGCATTTCTTAAAAACTTAAGTTGCACCATTTACAGGTAATACGGTACTGCCTGTGTCCTGCCCAGTCTAAACCTTAACTGCACGGTTTTAAGGTAATTACGGTAGTTCCTGCCTGAGATCAGCACAGTTCAGCATGGAGCAGCCGCTCCTGCCTCAGAGTCATTTGGTGCCCCTGAACCATTCACAGTTTCAGGCACACAGCAAGTCCACATTGGAGCCGCACTCAGCAGTTTAACTCTGAGACTGAGTGTGCAGCACAGAAACTCTTTTCATCCAAGTTACAGCCAAATCTGACATGCAGAGCACTGCGCAGTCTGAAAATGCGTCTCTGTATAGCGGCAGGAATCCGCCATGCTCTTCCGCCTGCCTAAGCCTGATTCTGCCTTCTGCCCAGGTGCAGGCGGGGAGCTCTGAGCCATCTGCACGGTCTCAGAGCACTCTCCTCCGATCCCAAGCGGAACACAAACATCCAGTCCCATAAAAGCCTTGAAATGCTTTAAAGCCAGAGTTCATGCTGGCAGCACAGCCCCCAGGAAGCCGCGCTTTAAAATGATGTAGCTTATTTTTCTGCTGTTGTAGCTGAATCAGGAATCTCTCTACAGCACGCCACCAACAAAACAGCAAAAATCTGTGTTAAACTCTCTCTCCCTTATTTTTAAGCCTTCTCAGGTTTTTAAGTGGATTTAGCCCATCACGTCTGGGCGCCATCTGTTGAAATAGGAGCGGCAGGGCTGCGTCCCCGGCACCCGGCCGCCCGCATGGCTAGCTTATACCCAGAAATAATTACACGGAAACTGTATTCTTTCAAACACTGCCTGGCCCGGATAGTTCCAGTTCCTTATGGCTAGCTCTTACATATTGTTCTAACCCATTTCTAATATTCTGTGTAGCCCACGAGCTGGCTTACCAGAGAGGATCTTAACCTGCGTCTGTCTGGAGTGGGAGCATCATGGCGACTCCTCACACAGCTTCTTTTTCCCAGCATTCTCCTCTGTCTACTCCGCCTACCTAATTTTCTATCCAATAAAATGGGCCAAGGCAGTTTCTTTATTAATAAGAAATCACTCCCACATCAGGATGGGGGTGGGGGACTGCCAGGGAGCAGGTGTGCAGGGGCAGGGAGAAGGGAGAGGAAGGCTAGCGGGACTGGTGGGCAGGCTGTAGGGAGTGACCATCAGTTGTCACCTCATCCCTATCATGCCCAGCTCAGTCTCTGACCACCAAATGGTGGGCTCTGGTGGCCACAGCTCCTTCTTGGCTATCTGGAGGGTGTCAGGGCTGGGATGCCACCCTGGCCATGCTGCCATCCCAAACCAAGCTTACCATGATCCTGACATGGACTTCTTGTCTGCTAGCTCAGCCCTTCTTGGTCCACTTGTATGTGTCTGAGGGAGTCACCTGGACCTAGGAGGATGGCCGGTGTGCTATTGCATAAAGAGGACAGACCGATGGACAGATGGGTGGACAAATGGATGGAGGAATGGATGAATGCGTGGGCAGGTGGACGAATGGGTAAATAGATGCGCAGGTGGGTGAATGAGTAGAGGGTGGGTAGATGGATGGACGGACAAATGGACAGAAGGGTGGGCATGTGAATGGGCTGATGGATGAATGGATGGATGGATAGATGGATAAAAAAAGAATATCAAGGTGAAGGGTAGCGCCATGGAGGTGAGGCTGGGGGTGCAAAGCCCCAGCATCCATTCCCAAGTGTATCCTAGGGCAGAAATGAGATAGTGGCAGGCATGCTGGCATGGGAGGGCGGAGAGCAAGGCCTGAGTCAAAGGCAGGTTATTTTAGGCTGAGGCCCTCAGCCAGAGAGGGTGGGGCGAGGACAGCTGGGGAGGCCCCTGGAGCCCCGCAGGTCCCCAGCATCCAGCATGCTCCTTTATTCTCATGCCCTATAGGGACTAGCGGGGAGGTGCTGGCACTCAGAGGACCCATATGTGAGCGAGAGGAACCAGTGCCCAGCTTGGGATGAGAGCTGCCATGCACGGAAGGCTGGGTGGGATGGCCTAGCCCACCATGGTGGACGCTGGCAAAACAGGGTAGTGGCCTGGCGGTGGCATGTGGCACTGGAGGCTCTGCCTTGCCACTCCTCATTCCCCAGAAGCACCATGACTGTCTCCTCTAGTACTCTACAGGGAAGGAAAAGTTACAGCCACCACTGGATACAGAAGATGAAGATGGGGCTCTTGGGGGGGGTGTTTATGTGGCGTGTTGGGAATAGACGGGAGCTGGCTGCCCCAGGTCGATGAGTTGAAGAAGCTGTTTTCAGCAGGTGGAGATGGTGGATCTAGTATAGGGCGGAAGCTCTGTGGGTTAGATGGATTGGCTGGGGAACCTGTTCACGGCCTTGTGTTGGGCGGGCACCTGGGTGCCCTTCTTCCGAGCGACCGTTTCCCACCCTGCCTGCAGGCTCGCGCTGTACGTGTATGAGTACCTGCTACATGTAGGCGCACAGAAGTCGGCTCAGACCTTCCTGTCCGAGGTGAGTCTGTCCGCTCTGCCAAGACACCCCACATTGTTCCTGGCAGGGTTGGCGGATCCCTCCTGGGTGCCTGCTCCTCACTCATCCTCTTCCCGATAGATCCGCTGGGAAAAGAACATCACCCTGGGCGAGCCCCCTGGCTTCCTGCACTCCTGGTGGTGGTATGTGCGTGTGTGGGAGCTAACGGAAGGAAGTGGGATCTTCGCGGGGACGTGGATCACCTTGTTCCTTCTACTGCCCGCAGTGTCTTCTGGGACCTCTATTGCGCAGCACCAGACCGCAGAGAAGCCTGTGAACACACCAGTGAGGCCAAAGTCTTCCAGGACTATGTGAGTCTCCAGGATTCTGGAATCTGGGCCACTTCTTTTGTTTTTGTTTATTTTTTTATATTATTATTATTTCCGAGATAGGGTTTCTCTGTAGCTTTGGAGCCTGTCCTGGAACTAGCTAGCTCTTGTAGGCCTCAAACTCAGAAATCCTCCTGCCTCTGCCTCCTGAGTACTAGGATTAAAGGCCTGCGCCACCATCACCCAGCTGTTTGTGTGTTTATTTTGTGATAGGGTTTCTCTGTGTAGCCCTGGCTCTCCTGGAACTCACTCTGTAGATCCTCCTGCCTCTGTCTCCCGAGTGCTGGGATTAAAGGCATGCACCACCACGCCCCTCTTTATTGTTTTTTTTTATTTTATTATTAAAAAAACACTTTTAATTTATGTGTATGAATGTTTTGCCTGCAAGTCTGTCTGTACACCGTGTGTATGTTTGGTGCCTGTGAAGGCCAGAAGAGGGCATTATTACAGATTATGAGCTGCCGCCATGTGGGTGCTGGGACCTGAACGTGGGGCCTCTGCCAGAACAGCAAGTGGTCTCTTGAGTCTCCTGAAATTTTTTGTTTTGTTTTTATTTGAGATAGGGGCTCACTAAGTAGTCCTGTTATCCTGGAACTCCTATGTAGCTCAGATTCCGCTACCTCCCGCCTCTGTAGAGTTGGGGTTAAAGGCCAACGCCCTGGCCTCAGTTTCCCTTTGGCACAGTAGGCGGTCCTCGCCTCCTCACAGCAGTCACTAGGCGCCGGTTGCTATGGCAGCGTGGGCGTCGGAGGGCGGGCCAGAGCAGACTGGTCCTCCGCGCCCTGCTGCTGCGGCCCCGACCTTGGTGTCTCCTGGGAAACGCCAAGCGCAGCCCTGCCCGTCGTCATGGTAACGCGGGCGGGCGCGGCGGCGCCGCTGTGGGATGATTGACGGGCGCGCGGGGGGGTGGTGTTCCGGCTCAGACCGCCCTCCCGCAGTGCCCAGCTGGTATGCATCAAGGGACCTGGTGTTCGCGTTTGGGGGATAGGCCAGGCGTGTGGGGGGGGGGCGCTTTGGCCATGACAACCCCTAATCAGCCGGAGTTACAATGATTTTGGGGCTTCCTTGAGAGTGCACTTTCGCTGTGGGCTACTGTCATTTATTCCCCAGGGCTAGACCAGAATGCTTGCAGCAACCTCAGAGTTGCAGGAACAGGTCACCAGGGACCTGACTCTGAGCTATGGTGGGGCTGTCCCCATTCCAGAGATCATAACAGAAGCCTACAGAGTCCCAGGCATGTCTGTGCTAGCCAGCATAGCCACCTGGGAAGGCAGTGAGAAGAGATGGACAGCAGAAGGAGCCTGCCAACCCCACACCTCCCACCCCAGCTCTGAGCCTGTCGAGCCTGGTTGTTGTTCATCTGAGGAGGGTTGTGGTCTAGGGACCCTCCCCACACTCCCGCTCCTCCGTCCTGGATGGGTGGCTGTACATCTACAGTGCAGGACAAGGAAGGGGCCCTTGGGGCAAGGACTGGCCTAGACATTTGGGGTGTGGGTCGGGAGAGGGCCTCTATGCCACCAGAAGAGAGTCCAGGTGAGATGAGGGGGAGCCATAGAAGTCTGGGGGTGTTGCTATACCACTTCACCCCTTTCTCTGGTCTCCCAGCTTGACCACGTGATAGCTGTCCCCAGGCTGTATGCAAAGATGAGGGGAAACCCTGTTCCAAAAGTCACCTGTCGTGACTCTCACATCCTCTGGTGTCTCATATTGCAGAGTGCCGCAGCCCCCAACCCTGTGATGGGCGCCATGGCCCCTAACGACGCGATGGGGGCACCAGGCTTCTTCCAGGTATGGCTGCCTGGGGCCTCCTTTGTCCTCACAGTTGAGGTAGGGGTAAGCTGCAGGCTGGAATTCGGTGGAAGGGTTGTGGACACAGTGGATGTGAACATGTGTGCACCTTGTCATCGCTAGTGACAGGCATGAGTTTGTACCCCTGAGCACCGGTGTCCGCTGGTTCCGCCATCCTGTTCAAGTCTCTTCGTACCATCTGCTACCTGCAGGCTGTGCCCCCATTCCCCTCTCAGTCGGGGTTCAGTAGCTTTCCCATTCACCCTCAAGATGTGTAGCTGTTCCCAGAGTTCTAGTGGTGACCCCCACAGTCAAGTAAGGGCCCTCACACATGCCGGACCGCGCACTGCTCCCTCCTGCAGCTGTACCAGCTGACTGTGGTCTGTAATCTGTCTCTGAGGCAGGGGACCAGCCAGGTTGGAGGCCCCTGCCCCTACTGTGCCCCCAGGCGTAAGAAAAAACAGGGTTTCTTTAGGGGAAGATTGCTGACCCCTACCCCCTCTTCCAGCCCTTCATGTCATCACGGTTTCCAGGGGGTGCCCGGCCCACCCTAAGGATGCCAGGACAGGTGAGAGAGCGGGGTGGGACAGGAGCTGGGTAGGGGTGTCGCCTCCAACTCAGTACCGTGCCCACCCCACAGCCTCCTGTGGGCCTCCCTGGGTCCCAGCCCATCATCCCTGGTGCCATGGACCCCTCCCCACGCACACAAGGTGAGTAGCAGACTCCAGCTGCTGTTCCTCGGGACCCGTCCTTTTTTGAAGCCCCCTTTTGGATGTGCTGTCCATATCTGGAAATGCCCAAGCCCTCTTCCTTATGTCTCTGCCCAGGGCACCCCAGCCTGGGAGGCTCCATGCAGAGAGTGACACCTCCGAGGAGCATGGCCAGTGTTGGGCCCCAGGTAAGGGGTGACCCAACCCACTGTGGGGCAGGAAGGCCACGCCCTAGGTACTCTCTGACAAAAGAACGTTTTTGCCTCAACAGGGCTATGGAACTGGCATGAGGCCCCCACCCAATTCCCTTGCATCCAGCCAGGTCCTGCCATCCATGAACATGTAAGGCCCTAGGGTACTCTCAGGCTTGTGGTCACCCAGCCTAGACGCAGGCCATGTATTCAGGGACAACCTGGGCAACGTTTATTCTACTGTCTGGAGGGGAAACAGGCCAAAAGGATCACTTAGCCCTGGGGAATGACAGGTTGCTGGGCCCTGGGCGCCTGGGCTGCTGCAGCGCCCCCATCTCTTCCAGGGGTCCGGGGGTGCGTGGCCCGTGGGCCAGTCCCAGCGGTAACTCGGTGAGTGGCAGGCAGGGTGATCTGGGGAAGGAGGGTTCGGGCCAGCTGCCTGCTACTGACGCTCACAGTTGTCCCTGCCTATTCCCAGATCCCCTACGCTTCCTCATCTCCTGGCAGCTACACGGTGAGTTCCCTGCAGGTGCGCGGTGGGACCT